TGGTTCAGCCCATCCTGTGCCTTATAATCCTGGACAGACGGGTTATCCTGGTCCAGCCCATCCTGTGCCTTATAATCCTGGACAGACGGGTTATCCTGGTCCACCCCAGCCCGCATTCTATGGCACTGGACAGACGCCTTATCCTGGTCCACCCCAGCCCGCGTTCTATGGCAATACACACCCACCTTATCCTGGTTTAGCCCATCCCGCGTTTTATAGCAATACACACCCACCTTATCCTGGTTTAGCCCAGTCCACGTATTATGAAACTACGCAGCCGCCTTATCAGACACCAACTCAGCCCGGGTCTTATGGGAATACACAGCCGCCTTATCAGACACAAACTCAGCCCGGGTCTTATGAAAATACACAACCACATTACCCTGGTTCAGCCCATCCCGTGTCTTATGGCAGCACACAGCAGCATTATCCCTGTTTAGCTCATCCCACGTCTTTTGACACCGGACACCCATCTTATCATTCCCCAGCCCAGCCCACGTCTTATGGCAATGTACCACTCAAACCGATGTATGCAACCGGTCCTCAGAAATTCACCGGACCGGCTCCAAACGTACAACACGCTTATGGTGTTCCGCCCAATATGTAACGCCCAAAAGGCTTCTAATGCCCTGTAAGGGCTATTGGGAAAGGACAATCAGATGGATATAAATTTGCCTTATACCATGATCGACATTAACTATTTCATGACTACAAAGATAAATTAATTTTTTGTTCCATTTATTTTGAATGTTGTAGAATACTACTCATATATTTTACTTACGGTATACCATGATGGGGTGTTTTTTTCCGCCTGTTAAGTTTGGCGTTGTATTCAACTACCACAGCTTTAATCCTAATCTTAATCACAACCTCAAGTATTCCAATGAATAAAACATGCTGGTTACTTTTCCTAGAACAAGTATGGAATCACACGTGCGCATCAGCGATATGAAAAGTATGAAATTTTTTCCTACTTTAATATTAATTGAGATGGTATGAATGCTAAACAAAACCAATTTTTGAGTTTCTTTTAACTTGCGGAGATATATACAGTGAGGGTCTTGGGATGATTAGAACCCGTATTCATGAAAAGATACATAATGCCACTTCTTTTTATTTAAGTGCCAAGTGTCTTTTGTCTTTTCATACCAACCACACCATATCTTCTTATGGATAGAGTAGTTTTCGTAAGAAATTCGTTTCTTCGTTTCAATTTCTTGAGTGCAAATCTTAACAGGTACAAAATATGTCGAAAAGAAGTATTTGAGATAGAAAGTTTGATGAGCCAATA